GCAACTATGCCAGTAAAGCTATATATTACTAGTAATTTCGTAAGGCCAAAAAGTGGGCGGGACAAATACCAAAGCGCGGCGCAGTTGTCATTGATGATCCTAATCAAATTGGCAAATGGCGACTACATATGTGGAGACTCACCATCGCTTCCATCTCTTCGATGAACCACTATAGAATCTCTTGGATTGATTACCCTCCTTTTTGATTGTTGATATCCCTAAATTATATCTCAAAATTTGATTACTGATTGCTGAACTCTGACTCCTTGCTCAGCCAGAGCTTAGAGAAGCGAAGTCACAAAAATTTCCAGAATTGAAACCTACACATTGCGATGTGTACATTTGTGCACGATCATAATATTCCCATTTATAGCTGTCACTTTCATGTTCTGTGTCTATTCGCTTCGTTTCGCCCACATATGAGTCATAGAAGCAGCTTACGGTGAAAGATTGCGCTTGCTGTAACAACATACATTACTTCTGTTATGAGATTACAGTAATCTTTGGTACGGTAATTTCAGTAAAAGTGACTTGCTTGAGCCATTTTCTTCACTGCCTCAAGTACAGTATCATAGGATACGATTTTCAGAGGAGTGGCGTTCTTTGTCATTCGAAGAATCTCTTCAGCAGTCACGAGTTTCTAAAAATCAGGCAATTGGGACTTGGGCAAGTTTCGTCCCAACTTGCTGAATTACTCGGCAAAATCGTCCATCTGTGCCGCCATTCCTCGTCCAATAATCTCGCCATTGACGCATATCCACCATACTTGACGCCGTCTGTGATTCGCCAGATATGCCCAGCTGGCTTGAAAATCGTGAAAACCATTCCTAAATTCGAAATCAGAGAGAAAACTAGAGCAAATTAGCAAAAAGTGATTCTTACTTTCGGTCTTCCTGTTATCAAAACCTTAGACAGCGTGCTGCTACTACCGCTAAGGTTCACTTTGCCATCTATACGAGTTGGTCGACACCAATGCAGCATAGCTCGGAGATTTGGGTCTGGCTCATCTTGAAAAATAAATAGAAATAAGATTTACATTTCAAAAAAATGAGCATGAGCGATACTCAGCAGTTTCGCGTGCAATCTTAAACTCACCTGAACTCGAGATGTACAGATCAAATGCGGTAAGATTTAATGTGGTGAGATCAGTGGCTCTAGCATCGTTCATCAGAAGTAGAAGCGCAATATTATCAAACCTTGAAAAAACAATTTGTCGATGACGTGCACACAGTTTTATACTCAGTATACGGTAGAAACAGATGGCAAAGACTAGTTATCGCGTGCATCATTCTAAAAGTACTTCCATTATTTGCGAAGATTGGCGGATCGAGAGACGCGGCGGTTGCGTTGCGGTGCCACAGTTGGTTCCGATTTTCCCGTAATTTAGACTTTCACTTGCTTTCTTTCTTTAGGTTATGTTAAACTTTGCAGAAGTAGAGTGTACAAAAGAGTATGCTGAGGAGGTGTTAGCCGAATTTCGAACAAACTCGATACTTGACGGTGAAACCGCAACGCGACCGCGCCGCACAGTTCAGTCGGCCGATCCTAAGAGCTTGGGAGGCGCTTTAAGCTGCGAAAGTTTTAAAGCGCATAGTTTTTTAATGCCAAGAAAAGGATTTTCTAAGCTGCTAAGCATGAACCCTATAGGGAAAAACTACTACCTTGTAGATCAACTGAATTCGAGAAAAACTATGCCTTGCATGATTCTCGTTATTGCTTGCCGCGTCGCAACTCATTGCGTCGCAGCCATCGTCTTGGTATCTGCCGCCGCCATTTTCTTTCTCTCACTTACCTAAGCAACGATGCCATTTGCAAAGCAGTAAGTGCATATCGCGATTCAGCATCATTTACTTCAACCCGTAAATCCAGTAGACGTCTAACCTAAACGTATTCCGGTAAAAGTGTGAGTTAACTAAGAAAGGTAAATGCACTCAAAAATACTCAAAAAGCTTACAGCTCGTTCATTTCCCATCGCCACAGCGAACATTAGCGGTGTTGCACCTTCGGCTAGAGATGTCTGCTTGCCACGAACAAATTCCGCACAATCCAGTTGATT